CCAGTACGTCGATGAAGACTGGCTCGACCCCCGAGTAGCGGTTGGCCAGAGCATCGGCCTCGTCCTTCAACTGCGAGCCGACGATTATGCGCAGGTTCTCGTCGCGGTGGAGGTACTCGACCAGGGGCGCCGACACGTAGCCGGCCCCGAGCACCAGCGCGGTCCGGCTCTTGGACTCGTGGCCGTTGTCCTTGTGCCTGCTCCGGCAATTCTGCGACCTCAGATCCTGAATGTACTGGAAGTTCGGGGTGAGCTCGCCGTTCGAGGCGATGATGGCCCCGTGGACGGCCGGCGTGAAGCTCACCTCCTCGAGGGGCTTCTTCGCGTCGGACTTGATGATGTCGAGGGCGAACGGGAAGAGCAAGTCGCCGAAAAAGTCGGTCGACTCTCTCGGCAGCTGCGTGGGCATGTTGTCGATCGAGCAGACCAGCACCCCGGGCCCCTTGAACGACTTGGTGTCCTTGTTGCGATCGGCGTCGTACAGGCAGAACGGCGTGTCGATCGTCGTGCACTCGTTCATGAACTCGATGCTGCCGCCCGGGTCGGCGGAAATGTCGCAGATGGCCAGCATCCGGTGGGGCAGAGCCGGTGCGCCGACGCTGATCGGCAGCCAGGGCGTGTAGGCCGGCCTCAGCAGATTTTTCGCGTCGGGTATCGTCAGCAGCTTCGGCGAGTCGACGGCCCAGTAGATGCCGTTGATGATGACCGACGCGTACGGTGCGATCTTCTTGCTGAACGTCGAGATGTATCGCTCCGGGTGCTGATCGTACTCTTCCGGATCGAAGCCGCCACCTTCTTTGCGCTCCAAATGGTGTCTGCGGCGCACCTCGCAAGCGTAGATCTTGGTCGTGTCTGAGGAATCCGCAGTGAAAATAAACCAAGCCGTGTTAGATGCTGTCCGATAAGATAGCGCTGTCGTTGTGCTTTACCTCCGTGCTCGGCAACCTTTCGAATCATCTCCGGCGGCACGTACTCGTGAGGCAGCTCTTGAAAGACTTCCTGGCCGCCTTGACTCACGTTGCCACTGCCTGTAAAGACGAAAGTCAGCGGTCCGATGGACTTGGGCATCGCACCCAAGGCTATCTCGTAACCGGCGTCCCTGATGGCCTGTCTGGCGGTTCCCGAGTCTCGGTAGTTATGAGCCGGACCGATGTGCTGCAAAATTGCCTCGTTATTTCCATGTACGCACGCGAGCTCGTGTACGAGACAAGAAGCAACGAACCATAAACGGAGTGTGGTGGCCCAAGGCAAGAAGCCTGAGGCCCAGACCGTGAAGGATGTTGACCATGCCGGCGACCCCGGCGTACTTGCCGAAAGCCACGAGTCTCTGGCCGTTGTCGTCCGTCAGCTTCTCGTAATCCAGCAGTCGAATGTTCTTGTCGAGGATCGCGTCGAGCATCGGCATATTCGACTCCTGCGCCTTGATCGTGTGCGAGAAGAAGCAGTAGGTCTTGTTGGGTATCAATTGGTCGATCGGCACCTGCTTCACGCCAAAGATCACCGAGGCGCTCGATATGTCCTCCTGAACGGAGGCGCCCGCAGCGAGGTAACTCTTGGCCGGGTAGGCCCGACGATTGCTCGGTTGAACGATCACCTTGACGCCGGCGCGAACCAAGCGACGGACGTTCGACGGCGCCAGGGGCGCTCGTCTCTCCCATACCGATTGGTCTTCTCGACGGATGGCGATTACCTTGCCCCGCAGCGTCTGCTCGTACTTTTTCAGCAGTTCCTTTTCCTTGGCTCTCTGTTAATCATAAATCATAGATCGTTCCTCGAATAAATTACAGCCGAAAAGCTGAAAACATCATCGCACGTTGATACCACTCTTGTTACGCATCGCGCAACCGTATGCATACATCAGAAAAGCCTAGAGAGATAATTGCGCAAAAATGAAGAAACGCGAGATAAGACGTTGTCCGCGATCCCCCGAGGCTGCGCTTGTTTTGCCACAAATGTACTTTCAATGAAACGTACGATGTTGATAAACGATCTTTTTCTGTCACTTTATCGCGATGCAGCTTTAATTGATTCCCGACTAGAATGCCAAGTGGGCTTTTTTGGGGAAACTTTTTTATCCTCTCCTTGATCAACGTTCAATTGTAGCTACTTACTAAAGTATCTAATTTTAGCTACATTTTATGGTTTTCTTCTTATTATACTTTTCAATTTTTTTTTTTATGATTTCAAACATTTTTTTGGGATATTTCAATTTTTGAAATTAAAAAACAATCAAGAGAAATATATGTAGAAATTGAGAATAATAACTTTGCAACATAATAAAAACTTACGCTGATAAACCTCATTTGGTTGAGAAGTAAGCTAGAATAAATATTACAACGACTATCCCACGATCTGGTGAGCATCGACGCTCCAAATCCTCGCAATAAAGTCATCGAGTAGTAAATTTTTGATTTTCAAAAAAACAATTAATTTCACAATTCACTATGCATAAACGTACAAATCAATATTAATATATTATTTATAAATCAAACATGGACATTAATCCAGTACTGGATCATTTGTAAAAATATTTCGGATCAATTGTAATATCAGTTCCTTCACGCAAGTCTCGATGTGTATCACTGACCTCTTATGTACCGCAGCAGCTTTTATTTGTCGACCCTTATCTCTCTCTCTCTCTCTCCTTTTTCAATCGTGCATATTTTAATCATTTCAGTAGATGCGAGGGAAAATTTTGTAGCGCTCTCAACTCTGAATAGGTAAAAGAATGCAGGTTGTCACACATTTTTTACAGGAAAACCTCGTGAATTTCGAATATATTTGAAAAACTCACTCATACGAATTATAGAAAATTGTAGAAAAGTACGAAGATCGCTCTGATCTCATTGTCTTTGCAGTTAAAATTACATAGGAAAAATACAGTAAATGCAACAAATAAATCACATTATTATTCAGATTGATATCATTTTACGTGCGATCGCAAGTTTTTATCTACGTTTTATGAAAGTTTACGCGTGTAAAATATCGATTTACAGTACGAGTGACTAATTGTTATTGATAGTGATTAGATTAATTTTCAGATGTTAAAGTTATTTCCGGATAGTTGCTTAATATTTCATCTATTAATAGCAAGACTCAGGCTTGGCGATGAAAGAATGTTCTTATAATTTTTTTATCAAAACTATTTTTTTTATTGATATTGTTCATAATAAACATAATTAAAAATCCAGCAACGGCGATTTATATTTTTTACAACGTTGTTAACTTTAATCGTGAATGAGACATATATACAAAATTAGTAATTTCATACTAATATAAATTAAATCACAATGCCACAATTCAAAAATTATTTTGAAAAGTTATTCAGAATGTTAAGAAAATATTTTTTAATTAATTTAAATACTTTGGCTATTGTTGAGGAGATGGTTGTTGAGACTTTATCGAAAAATACATCTTTCCTTTAATTTTTTGTTTAACTGGATTGATATTTTTCAAGATTTTAGTCATAATTGTTACTATTTGATCGGAGCTTAAACCAGTTTTTTTAGATTTGAATTTTTGTAAAAGTTCTGTTGTAGTCATTGGTTTCCGCATGAGATAACGTCTTACTGCATCCTCAGAGATACCAGATTCACTGTAATGATTAGGACATTTTAGTATTAATTCAGTCATTCATTTTTGCACTGCAATACAAATTAAATGTAATGTAAGGCTTTTAAAAAATTTTACCTTGCGCCTGATACATAAGACATGAAGCCACTTTCAAGTTTTAATTTCTTTGCTTGAATTGGATCTGGTGAACTGCTTAATGGACGTTTTAAGTCAGTACTGTTACTGCTAAATACTGCAGGTGAAGCTGATCTTGAACTTTGGGTGCTTGTAGGTTTTTTATCTGGATGTTCCTTATCTTTATCAAATTCTGATTCATTATCACTAGGTGATTCAGAACCATTTTTCTTCTTTTTATCTTTCTTCTTATCCATATTTTTGCCCACTTTATCCTTATCCTAAACAATGACAATTGAAGTATTATTTTATTAAAAATTTTGTTTTTAAAATCAAATTTCTATACATACTTTTTCATCTTTATCTTGGCCGTCTTCTTCATCATTTTTATTTTCTTCTTCTTTATTTTCTTCATCTTCTTCATCAGAATCATCAGATACTAATAGTTTTTTTAAACCAGATTCTTCTGCAACAGATCTGATTTCCTTCTGTTGTTCTAATTCGGAATCTGAAGCGGACGAGTCTGAGATGTAATCAAGTTCACGGCCTTCTTCATCACCATCATCACTCTCTTCAAATGCTTCATCATCAGAAACTTTCTTTTTTTTCTTTCCTTTTGCTGTTCCTTTTCCTTTTTATAATTATTTTAAAGTTGTATTCAAGATATTGTAATAAATATGATAAATAAATAATAATTAAGTAGGTCTTACCTTTTTTACTTTTTTTTTTATTAACTTCATCATCTGATTGCTTATCTTCTTTTTCACTACCGCTAGAATCATCATCACTACTCATCCATTCATCCATTTCTGATATTTTTAAATCTTTTTTTTTCTTATTCGTTTTCTTTTCTTTTTCTAATTCCATTAATTCTTCATCTGCACCTTCTTCTTCATTTCTTAATCTCTTTCTTAACATGAGATTAAAGTAATTAAAATTTTTATTTCTCATACTGTATTGCTCTTCTGCTTCTTCAAGCTTCAGGGTTTTATAAGTTTGAATTGGTGTAAAATTGTACCTGAAAATGTATTATTTAATAAAAGATACAGCTTTTGAGTTATTATGAGTGCATTAAATTTAAGTTACCATTCATTTAAAGGAAATGCTTCAATAGCTCCATCAGGGGCGTGAGTAAACACATAGTAAGCAGCATTTTGGTTAATACCATCTGTTTTTGTTCCTTTATACTTTTTCCCATTTGAACCATTTATCTTGAGAATCCATGGCTGATCTTCAGGTTTATATTTTTTAGCATTTATTCCATATCTTTTTTTTCTTGCTTCTTCTCTAGCTTCCCTGCCAAATTCAGAACCAGCACCAAATTTAGGCATATCTTCATCCATACCCTTGAAGTCTTTCATATTATTTTCTCTTTCCATTTTAACACTTTTCCATTCTTTGAAGTCAGTTTTGGGTACAGCATTGAATCGCATAATGTTATATTTTTTTTTTGAGTTCCTAAGTAGTAAAAGAAATTATAATAATGAAAAGTAATGAAAAAGATTGTTAAATTTAAAGTTTATCCTTGGCTTACTTGGGAACTCTAATGCTGAATTCCTGAATTTGTGGGGCACTTCCAGAAGCTTGTGCTGTTGAATCCTGAAGACCATTAATATTAATTAATTTGAATTAAAATACAACAAGATTTGTTATGTATTGATTATAGGTTATTGTACGTGCCTTGGATTGGGACGAACCCGGTGCCGATATTGAGTTCATGATTAAAATATCAAATCAAATCTGAACAGATGTAAATGAATTTATAATTCAAAAAAATTTTTGTTTTTGAGATTTCAATCTTAGATTGATAAAAATATTTTTGACTTTTGAACCACCATCAGCCCGAGCATGCTGCACTATTCATAAACAGCATGAGAATGGGAAAAGTCACAGGCCAATAATACATGTCTATTGTATAGGTGACTGTATATGAGTAGCGGCGTGTCGTCACTTAGTTCCTGTCATACTTGCCAGGTGGAGCGCGACACGCGCTCCTCGATAACGATACAAAGCGCCTCTAGCAGCGGTGTCTAAAAGTTGCAACTTACTGTATCGTTAAGTCTCTAATACGACATGAAAAAAGATGACACTTCGAGCAATTCAAATTAATCAAATAATACCTATAGACTATATCAAGCGATTTATTGGCACTGAAAAATAAATGATCAAATAAAAAATTGAAAATTATTGTGAAAAATGTGCGAAGATTAGCATTTAGACTCCATATATCTACAGCAGACGAATAGACGGCATTGAGTAAGCACTCTCATCGTAGAACACCTTATATCAAAACAGCGGAGCGGTGGCTGCAGTGAGCCCCTCAGCCCATTTGTAATAAAGCGAGTTTTGACTTTACATACTTCGTTTCTTATATATTATTGTGCTCAATCGACACTAGCAAATACTCACACTAGTAGTGACTTGTCATAAGCGTTCTTAACTATACTGCTGTCACGATACGGTAAATTATTCATATTATCAATTGTTGTGCTCTTTTATTACTCAAAATTTTAAATATCATGACCAATAGTCAATGAAACTTTTTAATCAGCTTTTCACTGAGAATTCTATTCATCCATTAAAGATATTGCACAAACTTGTTTATGTATAGTTGTTTATATCTACTATCAGCTTGTTCGATTCCATTTGTGTGTGTGTGTGTGTGTGTGTGTGTGTGTGTGTAAATAGTCTGCTCCGGCTTGGGTCTTGTGATACAGTTGTATCGTGAGCACGTATTCAAGCTAGGCTTTCAAGTAGTGTTAACTTTTTTGTCGCTCATCTTACTATTAAGTGAAACATTAGTTATATATTTTCAGAAAATTTGTGATTTACTAACTACTTATTTCCATTCAAATAATTTTGGACCATTTAAGGTGAATAAGGTGAAAGCTTATAAAATTTTACTTAAAAAACTTTCACAATGATGGTGCAAAAGGTAAATGAATTCATGCTATTGATTGTAATACTCAATCCATTTGCAGGAGCATATATGTATGATACTTATATTTTTTTTAGGAACAAAGTGAATTAAGTATATTCAAAGTAGTACTCATGCACTGTATTTACATCATAGCATTTCCTGTTATTGCTTTCTTTCTAAGCAAATTTTTACTGTCTAATGGTGAGTGAAATGAATTAATTAATAGTTCTTCTTTAAAAAAATTTTAAACCAATCTAAAAAAAATATTATGCATTCAATATATATAGGTATTTTTGGATTAAGTGCAGTTGCAAGTAACGTTTACGCAGCAGGAATTGCAATACTTGTCTTACATGTAGCGTTAGGAGCTTTCATATATAAAGCTTACACTGATTCTTCAGGTTCCACAAAGCCACAGTCCAAAGCAGATTGATCAAACTTTTTTTATTTGTATTTACTTAGATATAAAAATGCATCTAACTACTTTATTAAAATATTTTTAGAAATTATAGAAAAAAAATGTATCAAAAAGACAATAATTTTATTATTAGATAAGTTTTTTTATTGTTTTCTTACAATAAATTAATTTTTTTCTCCCAAGTATTTCACTGTGTATTTTTGGACATCATCTTTCCAAAACATAAAGTATAAAAATGAAGTTAATGTAAATACATATTGCAGCATACAAATAAAAACAACAAGAGCCAAAATTGATAAAATATTTCAAATTATTATTTGGATAATAATTGGTCTATTCCTAAATATTACCTCTCACATATGAGCAGCAAGTACATGCTAAATAGCATAATCATGTTCCAGCTGTTTAAATCGCGAAAATATGAGATATTTAATCATATCTGTTAATTTTGAATCATATTCACAATTCTTCAACTGCAAACTATTTTTCTATAAATATATTAGTGTATCTGCTCAAACTATATCATTTTATGAGAAGCAATATAATTTTTAACTTAATTATCAGTTTTTGTTACTTCAATACATCTAAAATGCAATAAATGTGTTATTAACCCACACTGAAAATGTATTTAAATGTTGCATTGGTGTTGTACAATAATTTAAAGTTTGAAGTTGTCGATTTTTAATGAGATCGCCAGCGATTTTAATTTAACTCTATTCAATTTAGAATAATACAATTGTCATGTCTACATGTTTCCAGTTGTTACACCATACATTTACTACTCTTAGACATGTAAGTTGTGAAGTTACTTTGGCGGTGTATAAGATATTTTTCACATTTTCAAAAATAATTTAAAAAGAATCAGTTTTTTTAAAACTGTTGTCAATGATTTTCAAGAAATACGTTTAGTCTATAAGTGATTCAAAGGTATAAAATTACACGAAAAATTTTCCTATAACATTCTTTACCACGAATTTGTTATAAACTTTTTTATTGTATCGGAAACTCGTAAAAGCGAAAAATTTTAATTGATAAAAATTGCCAAAAAAATTTCATTTTTTTCAAAGAGCATAAACACCATGTAAAAAATTAATTCTCTGACTATAAATCTTCATAAATTTGAGCACGTAGCTCAAACAATTAATCCATTTCTACTTGTGGAATATTGACAACAACGAAAATATACGTTACGTATATAATTATTAATGCTATCGAGATAGCGTGCACTACTAAATTATTAATAAATGAGTTCTACAAATGGATGAATAAGGGAAAAAGTCAATTTTAAACATTACTTATCATTGAAGCCATTCATATTTTCATTTCAATTCCACAATCTTAACATTTTTCAAATTAAAAAGAAGGAATTTACGTTTTATGAGTTATCAAAAACAAAGTGCTGTTTTGAAATTTTTGTTATCATTTATGTTAACTAATATTCGAAAAACAATCACTCCTCAACGCAGCTGATACTCTCATGGACGTTACCTAATAATTATTAAGATATAAATGCTCACTTTTTCTCTCAATAAACACACTAATTCATGAACATCTTGTCATTTTTTTTCTTTTAACTCGCAAACACAATATATTATTACACATACATGTTTGATTGCATTCGATGCCCATGAAGTAATACATATACATACAGGAATAGCATAATAGTCGCTCGTACTAAAGGAAAAAAATTAATCGCACTGGCTATATTCTGCGACGAGGTATGATTCGCTTGTTACGCCTCAAAATAGTTTTACGCTTTTCATTAAACTTATAACTGAGTGAACGAGGAGGTGAGGGGGCCTGAGATTATTCTGCTTGTGCATTAGCACCGTCGACATCCATTTGTTCTTCTGTGCCGGATTGACCGTTATTCTGAGCCTGTGGTTGTTTCTCATTCTTGTCTTTTACTTCCTCTTTGGGGGGTTCCACTTTCGGGGCTGGTTTATTAAGAATAGGCTTGATGAAGTTTTCGACGGACTGTAACACAAAAATAAAAATTCACAGTTAATTATCAAATCGATCTTTGCTTTAAAAAAACATTTTTAAAATAGTTAGTTATTTTACCTGTTTTTCTGTTCGAATCTGATTAGTGTAAATTGGAGGTTGTTGCGTACGTGGAGTTTTACTTAGCAGTGCACGCTTTTCTTCCAACCAAGTCCATTTTTCTTGAATGCATTTGTCTACTTTAGAGATTTCCTCCAATGTGATATGATCCCATTTACCCTCTTTATTCTCATGCGAAGCACGAATTTGATCCGCAGTCTTTTTCGCAATTTGTAGGAAATGAGCCATCTCTTCGATTGC